GTCGTAGCATTTGCTTCCGATGCCTCCAAAGAGGGCACTTCATACGATGGCCCCTGGATGACACCTTGTACCAAACAAGAACTTCTGGACTGTTACGCGAACTGGGAGCCTGAGTGTAAGGCGACAGCCTTATACCTTAGCGGTACCGGCGGGCGTTCCCGGGATAAGATAAGATGGGTGTGCTGGAAAGCGCATCCATCTATCTTGTCTGACGTAATACTGTATAGTTGTGGCTGATGCGCGGGGGCTGGTGTTGGACCATCGAGCGTTCGGAGTAGTTAGCTTTATCTTGTACACCTTTACGCTTAGTGAATCACTTTCCGTAGCCTCTGCAGGCTTACGGGTTCTGTTCTCTTACGAAGGACCTCAAGATAAACACCCCGACCTCTTACATTTTTTGAACATCCAAACAAACGGTACGTGATTCAATTTTAACATAAAACCAATGGCCCCCAGCCAGAAGAATAGCCGAAAGAAGAAGCTGCCTGCGGGAGCTGCTCCCGCGGACAACGCTTCACACGACCGAGGACCTGACGTTGAGCCGGAAAGGGAAACAGAGGGGAATGGGAATGACGTGGCGGGTGAGTCGAGTTCCAATGCTCGTCAACACTCATCCCATAATCCCACCGACCCGCAACCCTCGGGCTTGCTCGATACCGCGCCGCGTCAGGATCTGGAAACGGATCCTGACTCCATGGCTGTCGAGCAGAGTCTTATGTTGCCCGCTGACATCACCGACTCTAACGAGTCAGTGCAAGCTCCTGGCCCGTCGAAGGTAGGTCATATAATAAATTTATCGCTCGAAGACGAGCAACGTTTGAAACCAAACGTAGTCGCATTGGTCGACGAGATTTTGAATGAATTCGATACACGGTTTGAGACCGTGTGGGCGGAGATTCAGGCCGTGGACGATAATATCGACCACGTACGGAAGCAGCAGAAAGGGCTGAAGAATGTGTTCTTGGAATTAAATGAGGACCGTAAGTCTCTTCGCCATAAGGTCCGTGATGGACTAAAGCTAGTAGTTCCGTCGCCGGAAATGGTTCCTCTGGGATCTGAGAGGGCTTCCACTCCATCAGAGATAGCGGCACCCGCTATATCAAAGGATAAAGGGAAGGCGCGAGTCCAATTTCAGGACATGGGCCCTCAATCACCGGTGACGGTGAACAGGGTGTTGACTGGTGGGCTGGCACTCGGCCATGGAGGCGCGGATGCCCCGGTTCGTGAACGTGAGGTATTACCTTGGGGACAGCGCGATGGTGAAAACTTCGCGGACTTCCAGGATCGGCTTGCGCAAATAGATCAGAGATCGACGAAGCTATGAAGCTTCGCGATCCGCGTCCTCTCAACACCAGTGAGGGTGTAGGCCGCGATGGGATATACATTCCACCTCAGGTGCGAGCGAGAGCCGCCGTGGAATCGGATACCCGACTGGAGACCAATGCGCAACCACAGGCGCGTGCATTCACCGCGGCCGCTCCTGATGATGGTGGACCACCATCCGACGATTCGTCTGATGAGGGAGGTGCTGATCCGAATCCCAACCCGCCCGAAGGGGCGAATAGGGGTCCAGTGCCGAGATATGTCCCAGACCCTGAGAGGGATCCAGACGAGACATCCGATGTGTATAATGTTCGTCGAGCCCGTCACCGGGTGGTGCATGGACCTCCTCCTCCAGTGTCCGAGCAGGAGGTGTTTGACGAGTCCGCATATGAGAACAGCAGGATGACTCCTCCTCATATGCAGTACGAATTTGAGACACCCAGTGCTGGTATGCCAGCCTATACGAATGTTCGCTTCCGAGATGGCGAACCTATCGGATACGATAGAGCGCCACCAAGTGTTGGTCCATCCATCAGTGCCCGGGTTCCTAATGTCCCTCAGGCAGCCAGGTCTGATTTTGTTCCATCATCTGCTTCGGCCATTCACCGGATGCAGAGTCCGCTATTGCCAAGTGGGCAGTTTGCAGATGGTACTAGCATGGTCCCTAACACCCCGCAAGTGGGCATGATCGGTCAGAGCAATCATGATAGGGAACGGCTGATTGAACGGTTCAAGCGAAAGCTTGGCCGCGAATTGAAGACAACAGTCAACTCCTCGGTAGCGAAGAATTATAAGTTTGACATTACACAGTATTCGGGCGAGGACGATTTCGACGTCCTCGAGCAATTTTGTATCCAACTGTTTCGTATGATGCGCATATTACATTTGTGCGGAATGAATTCTGAAATCGACGAAGACCGAATAGAAATAATCGGTAATAATTTGAAAGGCCGCGCTCTGGACTGGTTCAACCGTGAGGTTGATGGCGCCGCTCAAATGGGCGTTACAATGCGTACGGTCGATGTGATTCGTGGGCTGTATGACCGATTTGTACACCGGAGTTCGGCGACGACTGCTGTGGAAAAATATCAGGCTTGTGCGTATAATCCGGAAGAGGGCATTGCTGCCTACTATGATGAAATGATTTTCCTAGCTGGAAAAATGATACAGATGCCGGACGCCTACTCCCTTCGAAAGAAGTTTTGGAATGGTATCCCCGGACGTGTCACCAGTCAAATGATGGTACCCTATGGACTGTCCCCTGAAGAGAATGACATGAAGACTCTAGTTGCATCGGCCCTGCATGTTGAGCGGAGTTTGAAGGAAAACAAGCGGAAGGAGGAGGCTAAGTTGGCACAAGCCGCCAACAAGAGGACCACCACTGGTGCCTCTACTCCTCGTCCGGCTAATTCAACTCCACGAGTAGCGGAACGCGAGAGATCGCCCCGACTGAGAGACCGTGAGCAACGAGATCACTCTCGTAGTCCATCGAGAGATCGAGACCGCAGTCGTGATCGTACGGGACGACGTGATAGATCGTTCAATCGTGATGCCAGACGAACCCCGTCTCAACCATTCAGATCAGGAGGCTCCACCTCAACTGCAAAACCTAGCGCTATCCCAGCTGCAAAGCTTGGGGCTAATCAATGCAGGTTGTGCGGTAAAGAGGGGCATTGGTCCAATGAGTGCCCTACCCGCACGAAATACACCAATACTGCCCGTATCAATGCGGCCCGCATCGAAACGGAGTACATTGCAGCAATGCACGATGCCCGCAGTGAAGCAGGGGACTCCAGGGTCGGAAACGACGGGCCTCAGTATGATTCGGATGCTGGGTTGACCCCGGCATATGAGGCCGACTATGATTCCGATCAGAGGGGAGCTATTCAGTATGACTCTAGCCCCGAGGATGTCCCATCCTCCCGACCTGAGGACTCCGTTGATCAGGGCGGATCCATTAATCCCAAATTGCGATCAATGTACATCGAGGACTTGGAGGAAGGGGACGAGGGATCGTCTGATAATCCTCAACTCCGAGCGATGTCTGTCCAACCGCTCACTGAAGATGAGGAGATTGCTGAACATGTCACAATAGACGCAGTTCCGTCACTAAGTGAATGCGAGGACCTCGCAACCGCGTTCGAGAATCCTATTGTTGGAAGCCACCACCCCAATACTTGGGAGGAGATCTACCGTCTAGGCTGGGACGAAGCGGTTTCCGCTTCGATCCACGATCTGAATATTATGCGCGATGCATTGGACCCGAGCAAGGGTATGGATGTCATCCTCGCAGAAGGAGTACAACGAGCGATCGTTGTTATAGCGGGGCTCTATGATACTGTCCCTGCTCCCGTGGGTTCCACGGAGAGGGAAGTAGCCGAACCGTCTTCACAGGCGGACGGAGTGGTGAAGCAAAGACTGAAAAATCGCTGCAATCGCGAGAAAAAGTCACGCTATCGTAACCGATTGCGTGAGCGTCTCCGTGAAGCAGAAGCGTTGCTGTATGAGTCCGAATCTGAGGTCGGTAGGGCAAACAGCGGCGCTGAGCAAGGGGATGACCACCCTGCCCAGGTTTCTTGCGATTATGTGGTTGATAGCAGTCTGGATCATCTAGACTCTGGTTCGTCTGACGAGGAGGACACTACGGACTACGTACCTCGTTCGCAGCAATTGCGAGTTGTATCAGTGGATGACGAGGGATCGTTGGTTCGCCTCGCTGCTATGGCTCCGGAGCGTGAGTTGTCTAACAAGGAAGAGGCTATTGCGTCCTGGGTGTATGATGCAAACATCAACCGCAATCCTAAGGACAGCGAGCAGCCTCAGCGCAGCGCGGAGGAGTGCCGGGTTATGGCTGTCATGATGACCGTAAAGGGTCAGCAGCTGTATACCCTGCTGGACTCCGGCAGTACCACTAATGCAATCAGTCCGGAGGCTGTTATTTCTTCGGAAGTCGAAGCTATTGAACTTAAACATCCTATGACCCTTCAACTGGGAACGGTTGGAAGTAAGGGTCGCATTAACCACGGTGTGAATACCACCGTCGGGTTGGGAGATCAGTCGCTCCCGATCTATTTTGATGTTGCTAACGTCGATTATTATGATGTTATCATTGGTACGCCGTTCCTTACCAGAAACAAGGTTATACTGGACTTTGATCGATTCATTGCCACCGTTAATGGTGTCGAATACGCGTGTTTAACACTGGAACGGGAACGTTTGGTGCGTAAGCGTGTTAAGGAGCAGCGGGTTGCTCGAAGGATGTCTCGGCCTCGCCGTAGCAAGGCTGATGGACCGGATTTGGATATGCTCCCGAAGAATATCGCCCCAAAGCATAAGAATCCGACGTCTTTGCGTGCGCAAAAGACTGTCCGGTTCGAGACGTCTGGTTGAATTGAGGATGCAGGGGCCGCTCACGCGGATCCTGCACCAGTGGGGGAGGGGGCGGATAACTCCACGTCCTCCAAACCTAAGGAACCAGATAAATTTCGAGTGAAACGGACCAATGAATATAGTCGTAGCCGGCCAATATATGATTTTGCATCACTTAACAGCGATAGTGTACCGTCTTTGCATAGTAGCACCCCAGAACCGTCACCGGTATTGACTAAGACTGAGAAACAGACTCTGCGAAGAGCGGTTAAGGAGGCATTTGAGGGTGAAAACTCACCTGAAGCAAGGCAACGGGCTGCGGAAAAGGATGAGATCGACCGGCTCCGGAAGGAGTGGTATGAGTCGACCATGGACATTATCTGTCCAGCTCCTCCACGGTTGCCGAAGAAGAGGGCGATAAATCATCGCATACCCCTGATAGATGAACACCGTACCGAAAGGTACCATATGCCTCGATGTCCTGAGGCTCTGAGAGGAGAACTCCGGGACAAGATCACCAAATATTCCGAGAATGGTTGGTGGGTGGAGCGACCTGTTCCCCAGGCTCCCCCATTATTATGCATTCCGAAGAAGAATAATAAACTACGCACCGTAGTTGATTGCCGGAAGCGCAACGATAACACAATCAAGGACCTTACTCCGTTCCCGGATCAGGACCAAATCCGTATGGATGTGGCGAAAGCCAAATATCGTACAAAGATCGACATGAGCGACGCTTATGAGCAAATACGGATCGAGGACGATGATGTGTGGAAAACCGCATTCGCTACCACAATGGGAACTTTTGTGAGTTTGGTTATGCAGCAGGGTGACTGTAACGCCCCTGCCACATTCCAGCGTTTGATGACTCACGTATTCCGTGAATTCATCGGAGATTTTGTGCACGTCTATTTGGACGATATATTCGTCTTCTCTAACACTGTTGAGGATCACCAGCGCCATTTGCGTTTGGTCTTTGATCGCCTTCGAAAGGAGGAATTATACCTAAGCACTAGTAAGTGCGATATCTACTCAAACAGGGTGGAATGCCTTGGCCATATCATAGATGATAAAGGTCTGCATGCGGACGCAGACAAAATGTCCAAGGTTCGAGACTGGCCGGTGCCAAAGAACTATAATGAAGTTCAGCGGTTCCTGGGCCTTGTACAATATCTGTCGAGCTTTATGCCCGATTTATCAGCCTATTCATCTGTTCTTGCAGGAATGGTTAGGAATGGCCGGACATTTGTATGGAGACCCATACATCAGTCATGCTTTGAGAAAATCAAAGCCATGGCTTGTAAATACCCCATTCTGAAGCCGATTGACCCGGCATTACCAGAGCCCATTTGGGTGGTCTGTGATGCGTCAGTATATGGAGTTGGCGCTGTTTATGGCCAGGGGCCTACTTGGCAGGAATGCCGACCTGCGGGATTTATGTCGAAGAAATTCACATCTGCTCAAAGAAATTATCGGACCTATGAGCAGGAGACATTAGCCATTATTGAGGCACTGAATAAGTGGTCCGATAAATTGCTCGGTAGACACTTTGTGATTGTGACCGATCACCGCGCGTTGGAATTCTTTGACAGACAGGATAATTTGACACCTAGACAGGTGCGATGGTCTGATTTTCTGTCTCGATATGATAAGGAGATCCGGTATGTCAAGGGGCGACTTAACAAAGTTGCTGACTGCTTTTCGCGATACTATGCCTCCATGCAGGAGGATCCTCCGGGGACGGAGTACGTTGATATGGATCGGAAACTGGATCCCGAAGGTGATGACCTTATGGAGGATCGCATTGCAGAAATCCGCGCTATGACTCTCCGTGATAAATCACAACGGCGCGCTCCTCAGCGTCTTGATCCTGCACTACCTAGCTGGCACAGCTCTCAGCGGGATAGGCGGAAGCCTGGAGTATCCAAATCGCCCATAAAGGTGCCAACAGAAATACTCCAAGCACTTCCGACTGAAACCGTCGAACGGGACGAGGAAACTCATCGTTTGGAGGAATATGCGCAGCCAGGTACTGACTCGGGAGACTCCCCGGAAGATCTTCGGGCCACAGTCGAGGAGCGGTCATTTACGCTTGAGGACACACTGGCGGGACACGCTCCCCTCAACGTTGAAATTGAGAGGTCCAATGAGGACTGGATGGAGGCTGTAAAGTCTCAGTATCAGGGTGACCCATTCTTCAAGAATATCATTCTGAATCCGTCACAATACTCTATGTTTGAGTATGATGATGCCACAGGACTTATACTGGGGCGTAACCGCCAGAATGAAATGGTGTTGTGCATCCCCAATGGAAAATTGGGTGAGCGTTCCTTGCGAGAAATCGCACTTAATAGCGCCCATAAGGTACTTGGTCACTTGGGCGAAGAGCGCACTGCATCGTACGTTCGCCGCCATTATTGGTGGCCGAAACTCGGTAAAGAGATTGAGCAGTTTTGTAGTTCCTGTGAGGCATGCCAGACATCTAATCGGAATACTCAGAAGCCTCATGGATTACTCCACTCTTTACCAATACCGAATCAGCCATGGGAGTCCATCGCGATGGATTTCGTCGGTCCATTTCCATGGTCCGACGGCTGTAATTATCTCTGGGTAATTGTTGACCGGAAATCGGTGTTAGTTCATCTGATTCCAATCACGACGAAGGTTAAGACAACTGAGCTTGCGGAGAAATTCCTTGCTGAGATTGTCCGCCTTCACGGATTTCCCCAATCGATCGTATCCGATCGTGACCCTAAGTTCACGGCCGCCTTTTGGAAAGAGGTACATCGGCTTGCAGGGACTACTCTGCTCATGTCCACGTCTTTCCATCCACAGACGGACGGCATATCCGAGCGCACTATTCAGACCATCAGTGCCATCCTGCGGAAGGTCGTTCAGCCCGACCAAACGGACTGGAAGTCATGGATACCTATGGTCGAGTTTGCACTCAATTCTAGCGTTTCCGCTACCACAGGCTATGCACCATTCGAGTTGACTTACGGATATCTGCCGAAATGGCTGTTAACGACTGAGAAGTCGACGCAATACAAAGGGGTGCGTGAGTTCGCCGAAAGAGCGAATTCATGTTTAGAAAAGGCTCACGACGCGATTATTGAATCGCGTGTGAAGCAAACATTTCAAGCCAACAAGCATCGGCGAGACTCGCCAGAATACAAGGCCGGCGCGTTGGTGTATCTCAACACCAAGAATTTGAGTCTCCCAAAGGGACGGGCTAAGAAATTGCTGCCTCGATTTGTGGGCCCGTACAAAGTATTGCGTGTGTGGCCCGAGACATCAACATGTCGGTTGGAGCTCCCACCAGACATGGTGCGGCGCCGCATCCACGACACGTTCCATATGTCGTTGTTGAGGCCTTATCAGGCAAACAACGACCGGTTGTTCCCTAAACGCGAGTTATCGCGCTGGTACGACTTCGGGCAGCCCGACAAGGACGATTGGTACATCACAGGTGTGATTGGGCACGCCTGGCAGGATGACCATGTACGATTGCTCGTACAGTGGTCGCTCGGCAACATTTTGTGGGTAAATCCACAAGATGTGACTGATAAGGACATAATGATTCCGTACCTGGAGCTGCACGGCGTTTCGGAGGTTTCTCAGCTTCCGAAAACGCCGTTCTTACCTGAATCAACGTAGTCCGGGGGCGGTGCGGTGAACGCGGGGTCGCGTTCAGTGGGGGAGGGTGTGGCATACATGAAAATGAGTGCCACATCAGCGATAGCGCCACTGAAATACCACGCCGCGGCACGCGAAAGGCCGGCGGGGTTTCAATTTGACTTGACAGTTACCGCGTCGCGTCGCGTTGAATCCCCGCCTCTTCGTCTTCCTCCACCACCATCACAACCTACCCCACCAAACTAGCGCAATACCCAACACCCCAACCCCGTTCAGCGCCCAGAAATGGTCGCCGAACAACACAAAACGGGTCCATTGTCGGACCCACCTCAAAACCAAGCCGCGATTAACGCGCAGACTCAATACACCGCGGAGACGGCGATTCCGGTTCGCCCCCAGTCTCCCTGCGTTTCGTTAGGGGGCTCTCCGTCACCGGAGTTACCTCCACTCCCCACTTCGGATGCCGAAGGAGGAGATGGATTGGACGAGGAGCCTATGGAGCAAGATGGGGAAGGTGAGTACCTCGCCCAGGTTGTAGCACAACCCGCTCCGTATCCTGAAGGATACGCCCCTCTCCCCAATCTCGTAGCACCTCCTATGTCAAGGGAGAACTCTGCCCCCGAGCCTAACGGCTCTCTATCCGCCAATCCGGTCTCGGAACCTGACGGTTCCGAGATAATTCCAATTACTTCGCCGGACGGCGCGTCCGACAACGTCTTCGGTGTCTGGGAGTTCCTCCCGGACACCCTTTCTATCTGTCACCGCCCTGGCGTATGCCCCGATAACTGCGACGTTCATCGCGATCACCTCCGCGACGTCCACGCGTCCCGCCCTCACCCCCACGATTATGCCGCAGCGCTCAACGCTCGCTATCGACACATCGTCGCCGAGCTCCATCCCGATGCTGAGCGACTCGCTACCGAGCGCGTTACCGCGCGGGAAACCGCGTTGCGCGCTGAGTTTGAGGTAACCCTCCGTGATGCCCTCACCCGTCAGGCCTCTGAGTGGCGACAGGAGAGAGATCGCGCTAACGCGCGCGTTGCGGACGCTGAGCATAAGTTCCACGAAGCACGCGAGGAGGCGACGCGTGACGTGTCCCGTTGGTCGACGAGGGCGGCTGATATGACGAACAACAACAAGAAGTTGCATGAGGACCTCGACGTTAGTGAGCGGAAGGTTAGGGAATTCCGCCGCAACCTCGACGAGGCGCACAGACAGATACGGGGTACCCGTGAGGAGCTCGAGAATGAGATCGCGCGTAACTCCTCCCTCAATACGGAGGTTAACGACAGACTGTCCGAAATTGCTGGGCTCATGGATGACCAGCAGCGGCTCAAGGACGACGTAGAGTATTACCGTCGTCAGAGCAACCCCCAGGAGCGCGATATCGATTCGGCCGAGGAGGATGCGATCAGTGACACATCCTCCGACGCTGCGCGAAAGCGCAAGAACGCTCAAGTCACCAAGAGTTTCCGCGATGCAGCTCGTCGTCAGAAGGAGCAGGCGAGAGCCTCCTCCAACTCTTTTGGTGCACTCGATATCACGACAAGGGACCCTTCGTCGTCGATGAAGAAGAGATTGAGGAAGAATAAGGGGGATAAGCGAAAGCGCCCCGAGTCTATGGAGAGGACTTTGGGGCCCGACTCAAACTTTGATATCTGTGCAGTGTTGACGGAGCTAGAGGCGTGGATTATGATGGACGCCTATAGACGATTCCAGAATGCTAGTGCCCGCGCGCGTCTCAACAGTGTCTTATTTACGTTCCAGGATACCCTGGATATGAGCAATACCGCGTCCGCCAACCGGTTCATAGTGGAACATTGGCCTCGACTTCGCGATGAGGGCTTTATGCCCGTTCGACCGTCATCTTCCTCCCCTACTTCCGCTCGTCAACCTCCTGAGAAGCGCGCTCGTACTGCCGACGAGTCTTCGTCACAGACCGGCCCATCGCAACCTCCACTCCCGCCTCCTTCTCAACCCCCACCTCCGGCTGGGCCATCTCGACCACGGTATCTGGGAGGCAGGGGTGACATCCATCCTCTCGCCCTACAGCGTACACTTCCCTCCAACCGCTTCTTCAGCGATCGGGGCCAGAACGCTAGACCTCTCGGACGGCCTGAGGAGCCTCGCATGGGCGGATGGGGGCCTCCCCAACGTTTCGAAAATCCACGAGGTGCTCGTGGTGGTTATGCCCCGCCGTCTGGACGTGGAGGTTATCGGGGGCGAACTTATGATGGCTATGCAGTTGGTCCCTCGTTTTACAACGAGACGTTTGGACCTAGTGGAGCATGGGAGGACCTCCCGTCCGGTAACGAAGAATACGGGCAGAACATGCCCTTCATGGGCCAATTTGCAGACCGTCGGGAGCGTCGCCGCCCCCGGCGTGGAATCTCCGCGCCCAATACCTACGATAACCCGGACGAGTGGGAGCAATTCTATATTGCATCGGGTCAACCCCTCCCCCTCGGCGTCAGCACGGATTCCAACGGTCGCCCGTTGCGCCATCATATGCTAATGCATTTGATGATTCACCATATTGGGCCTGACCGCGAGGAATACCCGCCCGGGCGAGTTGGGCGAGAAATGTGGCGCCCCGAGCTGGGTCGTTTCACCCAGGAGGCTGTCGGCATTTTGTCAGTCCCCGGTTTGTTGGAGCTCACCTGGGAGGAATTCCGCATGAGCGAGTTCCTCTACGAAGGCACCCGTCGCCCTCATTTTCCCCCCAACACTTCCATCAATCGCGAGACGGTCGCCCGTCAGCTTCGTCGCGCTGTTCGAGGATCCAGCGAGATCGCAGACTTGGAAGCCTGGGCTCGTCGCCGTCGAAACCTGATGGCTGGCCGGAGCGAAGATGATATGTCGCCCTGGCCAACCGATAGCCAGCCCATCCAGTACAACGAGCAGTTGTTATCTCAAGTACTCACCAGGCTCGGTCGCGCTCAGTCCTCCTCTTCGTCTGCTTCGGCATCTGGGCCGTCCACTCAGCGTCGGTCGCCCACTCCACGCCCGGATAACGACGAGGACATGCAGCCTTGATTTCGGTGGACCAGGGCCTGGTCCAGTGGGGGAGGATGTAAGGCGACAGCCTTATACCTTAGCGGTACCGGCGGGCGTTCCCGGGATAAGATAAGATGGGTGTGCTGGAAAGCGCATCCATCTATCTTGTCTGACGTAATACTGTATAGTTGTGGCTGATGCGCGGGGGCTGGTGTTGGACCATCGAGCGTTCGGAGTAGTTAGCTTTATCTTGTACACCTTTACGCTTAGTGAATCACTTTCCGTAGCCTCTGCAGGCTTACGGGTTCTGTTCTCTTACGAAGGACCTCAAGATAAACACCCCGACCTCTTAC